TGAGCGGCGTGAGGATCTCCTCCCCCCTGAGGATCATCGATCTCTGGGTCAGAGCGTCTGTGAGCTGCGCTGGGTCCAGCCCAAGTAACTCTGCAGACCTGCCCAAGGCTGGGAATGAAGAACAAAGTGAACGTGGACTCCCAGCCCCCAAGAGGACCAGGCTGAAGAGACCCCGGGGTACAGAGCTAACCACTCACAGCAACACAGGAAAGCAGAAAGCTTCCCTGAATCCCTGAGGCAGAAGTGATGGGACACATATTCTATTGTAAGTCTGTCACTCCTTTATCAAGTCCTAGGTTATTAGCAAAGAACCTGGAGCTTGGCCCAAGTGCAGTCCAGAGACCCCAAGATTAGGGGGTTCCCAAGACACTGTGAGAGGTTTGTGAAGTCCTAACTATTGTCAATGATGATACTAAGATGTTATTTGCTTTTTTATTCTCATTCCCTCACCAGTATACCGATGATTTTTCCAGGGATTACATGACCTGAGGTATCTCGAACAAAATAAATGCAACAGCAGATATGAGAATCCAACTGGCCTCTGTACATTAGATATTAAAGAAACTTGCAAAAATATAAGACAATGTGACTCTTCTTACTGATTTGTTTTTCTTGGAAAATAGTCTTACATACAAATATTGTATTTTAATATGCAAAGGGTTTATTGTCATTTTGCAATGCCTGTTTTAATTCCTAATATTGTAAACACCAATAGATAAGACTCACATTTTTTTTCTTTTTTTTATTGCTTAAAGTATTACAAAGGGTATTACATATGTGTCCTTTCTTAAGACTCACATTTTTAAAAGAAGCTCTTTGGGGTTCTCCGTCATGTTAAGATGATTACGAGGTGCTGGGACCAACGTTTCAGAACTACTGGCCTGCAACACTGGGCTCCTTACAGCCATTGGTACTTGATCTCATTAAGTTCCCAGCCTCCATGCCCTCATATAGTGCTTCCATCAGAACAGTTTAAAATTAAATACATAAACCGCTCCAGGAAGAGGACAACTGACAGAGCTATGTGCGCATGAACTCACTCCATCTCGACAGCACGTCTCCGAGGCACTTTACCAATAAGAAGTTGCTGGCGTTGAGGGGATAAATAACCCAGGAAATAGCCCAAGGCCATGCCAGGCTTCGGACGGAGCCTCTGTCTTGAAAACTAAGGGCCTCACCATTACACTGCGCCACCATTTGATAACTGGAGAACTATGTCCACCCTCCGCCCGACTCAGGACATCTTCCCTACAACTCATCCTCCTTACGCGTGTTTCCTCCGATCGGGCCCATGTTCCTTCTTTCTTAGTAGGAACAAGAACACAAGCACCCTCCCATTCTGGAACCAAGTCTCAGAGGTTTTGACCCTTTATCTGCTGACAGTTCACATGAGGAGCAGAGTTCTGTAGCTATTTCAGGGTCAGCAAGCTCTTCCGTAAAAGGCCAGACAGTAACTATTTCAGGTCTAAGTTCCCTACTAGGAAAAAGCCAACGCAGGAAAGAGGGGCAGGGGCGGGAGGGGCGGCCTTACCCGTTTTGAAGGAAACCTGCGCCCCACCAGCAGTGATAAATTCTATGTTCCCAAGGTGCAGTATGCCAGCAAGCAGCCTCAAAACCTCCCGGACCTCCTCCTTGCTAAACTGCATTACGTCCATTGCCGTCTGGAAGAAAAGGGACGTGTTTCATTGTTTATGTTGTGGTTGCTGTTTCTTCATACTAAAGAGGAATTTTTTTAAATGTTCATTGCTCAACAAAATTATCAGGTATTGTTCTAAAAGGCAAGAAAATAGGAAATAGATGCATGACCAGTTTTAAAGATAAAGATTTTACACAGATACACATTAAAGAACACGAGGATAAGAGCTGTAGAATGTTGAGGAAGAACCCAATTGATGACATAAAGATAAATGTCCGCCTAATGTACAAGCCTCCTAGTTATGCCACAAAAAATTACATTTTTCTCCTACAGATATCAAAGCGTAATGGAACATTTATTTTCTTACACATGAAAGTAGGGGGGCAATTTGGGGGAGCTAAGCCTTCCTTAGAGTCCTGCAGGGTTAACTCTGGGGCTTGTCCTCATGGTTACTCACAGCAGGAACCCAGGGAGGTGGAATAAAACCGGGCAGGGACTCCACAATGGGAGAGTCTGTGTATCCTTTTACAACAGATACTGATGGACCTAGGAATGGATCTGGGTCTATCTGCCCTGGGCATTCTCTGACGTCTCTATTTCTCATTTCTCCAAAGGGTTCTTAAGGTCTTATCTTGGCCTCTGCGTAGTAAATGGAACCTAACAAAATGCTGTTTGGGGAAAAAATAAACAGGCATCTACCTACACGTCCACATCTGTATTTTAAATATGCAAAGGGTTTGAAACCAGCAAGTATCCAAACAACTTTAGCCAGGAGTCTTCTCGATCACATCCAAGATTTGCTTATTTTCTATTGGGATTTAGGAGCCATATTCATGTCAGGAACACTGTACTCACACCCACATCCTCAACTGAGGACAGAATTGGCGAGAAGACTCCTGAAATGACCTACAAAGAGGACGTGGGCCCAGCCGCTGTGGCTCAGTGGTTGAGCGCTGACCCACGAACCAGGAGGTCATGGTTCGATTCCCAGTCAGGGCACATGCCTGGGTTTCAGACTCAATCCCCAGTGGGGACGCGGACGTGCAGGAGGCGGCCGATCAATGACTCGCTCTCATCATTGATGTTTCTATCCCTCTCTCCCTCTCTCTGAAATCAATAAAAACATATTTCAAAAAAAAAGAGGACTTGGATTCGAAATCACTGCACTGACTACAGGAGACGTGGGAGAAGGAAAACATGCACCACTTTGAAGCAATAGAAATTGCAAAAGGAAACAACTGCAGATTTTAAAATGTGAGACACAGGATTTCTTTACAAGGAAAAAACAATGAAGTTGAAACAAAGGGCAAAAACAATAGACAGGGAAACAAAATTAAAAGAAAAAAATGCAAGGGAAGGAGCAAGAGCTATATTGGGAGATACACACACAACAAAAATAAAATAGGCCCTTCTTACACAGGAAGTGCAAAGCCACAGAGAAATTATTCTCTGTCATAGAAACGAAGCACGCACAAATTAAAAAAAATCGGGGATCACGTCTATTAAATTAGCAAAACATTTCTGAAGAATTGACCTAAAAGTGGTGAAACTGGGATGTTTAGGCACTGGCCACTGGTACTATAAGTGAGTATAACTTTTTGGAAAACAAGATTGTGGCAGGGCTGTGTTGGGCCACATGTGTATACACTCTTACAATGTTTAGAGAGGTTAAGGAATTTTCTCAGGGTTGCATAAACAAGATTCAAAGTCCAGGAATTTATTATCGATCCAACTTTATTACTTTCCAAGAACATTTAAAAAAAAGAGAGAGAGAAAGAAATCTCCTGTGTAATTTCCCATAACTTCAATGATGAAAATTTGTTCCAAGGAAAATGTTGACAATAATAAAGTTTTGCAAAATGTCACTACAGTGTTATCTTAACACTTTCAGAGAATTCTAACTAACCCATAATTAGGCAAAACAAATAGAGCAAATAACATTGTTAGAATAGTATATGGTTTTTAAAGGAAATTCTCAACCTCATATAGGAACATGATTATATTTTGCTTTATTCAAAGAGTAAAAACTACATTTTTTTTTTTTTATCCACAACTAATAAAATCAGGACAGGAAGAAAACTTACAAAAAAATGAAAAATATGTTAGTGTTAGTATGCTCATAAACACTGTGTTGTATCATGTCCTTTAATGTTGTTGACATCTTTCTGAACAAAAAATGAGACTATTACGCAAATCGCTCTCTACCCAATGGGATACTACTCACCATGCAGAGGAATGGTGTTATGTGGGATGTGGATGAGCAAAAGAAGGTAGACACAGGAGAATACATTCTGTGTGATTTCATTTACACGAAACTCTAGAAAAGACAAATCTATGCCATGTATGGTGACTGAAAGATCAGTGCTTTCCCAGGCTGGGGTGGGGTGGCTGGGATTGTCTGAGTGGGAGAACAAAGAACTTCTGGGGTACAGAACTGTCCTTTCTGTTGATTGTGGTTGTAGGGACATGGGTGTGTAAGTTAAAAATTCATCGAAATGCGTACTTTACATGGGAGCGTTTTATTTTATGTACATTATAGCTCAGTAAAGTTTATTACAAAAAATGAAAAGACCATGAATTATTTAATCAAGCATGAGAAGACTCATTTCAGGGTACAAACAAAACTTAATGCAAAAACAACTATTAGTCAAGTGTTTATCAATAAAAAGGCCTGTGGAAAAATAATTATTCAAATTTACTTATTCTAAATGCAAAGAAATAGGGCTAAGAAATACAGAACAATTTATTATGTTCAGGACTTTAAAACAGTGGTCAGGATCAAATCAGACATCAGCAAAATAATAAAAAAAATCACCTATGCTGTGCAAAAGTTAATATTTTCCTTTTCTATGATGAAAGTTTTCCTTATATTACCAGACATAGTCAATACTCATTTATAAAAATGTTCTAACCTCATCTTAGAATGACCACAGAAATGAAAATATTCACTGCTTTAAGTCACCTACCAGGACTTGAAACATAGCTAAAAGAAACAAGATTTTTGAAAACTTGTCTACAGTAGCAGAAAATTTCAAATGGTCAAATGAAAAATATCAAAAGATGCCCTATGAAAAAATTGGTTAAGTTCTGAGAATACATACAAAGATTATAAATGGAGGGAGGTACGAAAACAGATGGATAAAGCATGCTTACTTCATTAATAAACTTGTGACTTCTTCACTTTCAAGTCCAACTCTGAGTGAATTAATTAGTGAGGAGTGTGGTGATAAGTGGTAATTGCATTAATAACACCATGGGGTAATTTAATGGTTGCAACCAATTATCGCCCGTGTGGGTGTGAGTGCCAAAATTGCTAGCCAGAGCTCCATCCATTGTCTCTTACTGTCCTATTTACGATATTTTTAGTAGCAATCTCCACCCCTAGGCAAGAGTAGCACTTTAAGGTTTATTATAATTATCTTACTTTCTCAACAATAGGGCTCAAGACTTAAAAAAAATAAAAACCCTGGGAAATTCTCAGTATAGTTCAGAAGCACTAAACAGCAATTTAGTTATGAAACTGGCACAAAGTTAGACAACATATTTTCAATAAAGTCTGTACTAAGCCCATAAAAATTAAATGCTTGTGAAAGTGTGTGTGAGAGATGTTAGGGGCGATACAGTCCCAACCATGAAGGACTGAAGGCAGTGAGGGTGTCACACTAGAAACAAATAGAGAAGAGCAGCGAACTGAGGATAATTCACTTCCAATAGGTACATCTGATCTGCCCAGGGTCTCAGGAGTCAGCTGTGAGTGGGAAGGCTCCATTCAAGAAGGCAAAGGGATCACAGATGAACCCTGAATAAATGGTACAATGGAAATGGTGGAAGAGAAGGCTATTCTGGGCATGGTCAATTATTATAAGTAATAAAATCACTTATTCTGTAATGTTATGTTACAGCAAGGCCATAATATGCTATTTAGTAATATAAAATTTGCTTATATTCCCAAGTTTTCCAATACTGAAAGAGACTGTTTCCAAGCTTGGTAAAATCGAGGTATCAAGTCAGCCCTTTACATTTTCTTAAACTCTGACTCATGAGGCATGAATCTGTGCATACATATACATGGGCTCACACCATTAAACACCCATGGATATGCCCAGTGAGCCCATATGGTGAGGATATCCCAGAGTGGCTCATGACTAGGCTCACTGGAAAACATTCAATACTGTGGAGGAAGAAAACACTGAGATTATAGCTCAAAGACTCATCTTACCTCACACACATTTCATCAGCCCCTATCCTGTTGGGTCAATGCAGGTGACAGAATACATTAGTTGTTACTATTGACTTAAAAAATAGCTTTCCATCCTAACTGATCAGGTAACAGGCAACTTGGAAGGCTGCATAAGAAATGGTCACGAAGTTTAACAGGCCCTGTTCCTGCCCCAGCAAACCTAGGTCCCCTTATAATTGCTCAGGATACCTCACAATAAGTACTTACTTATTTATATTAATGTCACAGGTACTTATTTATATTGATGGTGTCACCGTTGATGCCAATGATGACTTTTAAAAATACATAAATTCTCAATGAATTAAGCAAATTTCTAAGTATATTGCCAAGGCATATTGACATTAAAGTTGATAAAAAGGATTTTTTTTTTAGAAGCTAAAAAAATGGAACACCAGCCCTGGCCAGATAGCTCAGTGGGTTAGAGCGTCATCCCAATACGCCAAGGTTTCCAGTTCAATCCCATGTCAGGGCACATACAAGAATGAACCAATGCCGAAACCGGTTTGGCTCAGTGGATAGAGCGTCGGTCTGTGGACTGAAAGGTCCCAGGTTCGATTCCGGTCAAGGGCATGCACCTGGATTGCGGGCACATCCCCAGTGGGGGGCGTGCAGGAGGCAGCTGATCGATGTTTCTCTCTCATCGATGTTTCTAACTCTCTATCTCTCTCCCTTCCTCTCTGTAAAAAATCAATGAAATATATATATTTTTTAAAAAAGAATGAACCAATGAATGTATAAATAAGCAGAACGACAAATCGATGATCCTCTCTGTCTCTCTCCCCCCGCCCACCCTGTTCCTCTCTCTCAAAAAAAAAATTTTTTTTTAGAAGCTAAAAAAATGGAACACCAGCCCTGGCCAGATAGCTCAGTGGGTTAGAGCGTCATCCCAATACGCCAAGGTTTCCAGTTCAACCCCAGGTCAGAGCACATACAAGAATGAACCAATGAATGTATAACTAAGCAGAATGATAAATCGATGATCCTCTCCCCCACCCACCCTGTTCCTCTCTCTCTCACTCAAAAAAAAAAACCAATAAAAAGTAAAAAGAACACCAGTGACATGTTCATACATATTCATAGAAATAATTTCTCTCCGTTAGCACTTTAACAGCTCTGCTAACAAATGTCCGTGAGCCCTGGCAGAATGTAGTCCCTTTCCTTCCTACAATCCCCAAACCTCTGGGAAAAGGAGCTTTACGGATTTCGAGTATGAAGATACAAACGTAAGTGGGATTTGCGGTTGGAAGGAAACACTGAGATGAATTACATAAAAACAACAACAGTATAATCTGTTCCAGTCATCTTCAGCAGAGTGCAGGGATCATGTGGTTGGCTTGCTCTGTCTCCCCAGCGCCCGGCACACAGCAGGTACTCAAATATGCTGAACATATAAAGTCACCTCCCGCCAGGAGAGTCTGGAGTCTCCTTATCCATTTCTGTGTCACTCCTGGTAACAGAGTGCTGCCCAAGGCAGAAGGATGGGCTGGCTGGTACTGGTAATGATACGTATGGTTATATTCCTATATTACAGAAATATGACTTTTAAGAATATTATCATAATAATCATTACAAAGTTGGGATATTTGTTGTAAAAATGTAACACAGAGACTGGTAAAGAATAAACACAATCCTGGAATTCTGCCTCATGGGTGACATTTTGGTATATTTTGTTCCAATATTTTTCTGCATATATAATTATTATATATATACATTATATTCAAGGTACAGCAAATGTAGGTTTACAGATGTTTGTGTGGAAAATAATACAATAATTAATAAATAATAAAATAAACTGTTTCACATACTCACAATTGTAAACTTACTTTTGCCCCACCCTGTATATATAATGCTTATTATTTAAATAGATTATAGTGCTGTATACCACCTTCCTTGCTTATGTAATAAGCAAGTTTTCCCATATTATTAAATACTAGAAGCCCAGCACACGAAATCACATGGCCCCGCCCACCCATGCCAGTCTTTGGTCATTGCGGCATTAGGGCCACAGGCCTTTTATAATACAGACTAGAGGCCTGATGCATGAAATCTGTGCAAGAGTAGGCCTTCCTTCCCCTGGCTGTTGGCACTGGCTTCCCTCTGTCATACGAGACCCGGGCTTCCCTCGCAGCCCCAGCTTCATCCAGAAGGTCCTGCGGAAGGCTGTCCCATCTAATTAGCATATTACCCTTTTATTATTATAGATACTTGAGCATGTGTTTTGCTTGTTGCCATGGATCATATTTTATGGGTTTAACAAATTATTAAAACCATTCTCCAATTCATGATTTTGTGAGTTTAGGGAGAAAGAAATCTTATTTTTTACAGAAAAGAATTTTTTCCTCCTTTCTGAAAAGTTGCTCATTTATGTTTCTTTTCCGACAACATTGCTTAGAACTTCCAGGAGGAGGAAACCACATGTTCCTGATTTCAATAATCACCAGCTACGTTGTCTTTGACATTTCTGACGGGTCCACACTAAAAGGTAATTGCAAAGTAAGTATTAAGGATCTGTCAATAGAATACTTTTAAGTTTGTTGTGTACATTTACAAAGCCAAATTTATGTATACACTTTTCTTCCTTTCTAGGAGACAAAGCCTTTCATCATAAGACCACATTTCAAATGTCAAAACCTATCATTACAATTTAAAAATAAAAGCTAGCAATCACTGAAACTAGGACCCGCTCCAAAAATTAGCTTGCAGCTAACAAGAACAAGCAGTTCTGACTCAGAAAACGGTGCCCCAAGAGGAAAGCCATCAGAGCACCTTCTCCAGGCACTCAGGACGAGGGCAGGCCTCACTGCCAGTGCCCCCTAGTGGCCAGTCAGCTAGTCAGTCTCACCTGCAGTGAAACTACCACTCCGATAATTAGGAGTCTATCGGTTACCAGGAACAAGGTCCTATCACGAAGCACTGTTGGGCAGCTTCAAGAAAGAAGCAACGTATTTTGTTGAGAATTTTGATGTCTATGTTCATCAGGGATATTGGCCTGTAATTCTTTCTTTGTGGTGTCTGTCTGGTTCTGGTATCAGAGTCATGTTGGCATTGAGGAATGAGTTTGAAAGTGTTCCTTCCCCTTCCATTTTTTTTGGGGGGGGGGGAAATAGTTTGAGGATAGATACTAATTCTATTTGGTAGAATTCACCTGTGAAGCCATCTGGTCCTGGGCTTTCGTTTTTTGGGAGGTTTTTTGATGACTGCTTCAACTTCACTGGTACTAACTGGTTTGTTCAGAATCTGTTTCTCCTTGGTTTCATCTTGGAAGGTTGTGTATTTCTAAAAAGTATCCATTACTTCTAGGTTGTGACTGTTGGTATATCATTGTTCACAGTATTCTTGAACGATCCTTTGTATTTCTGTGGTGCCCACTGTAATCTCTCCTCTTTCATTTTCCGACTTTATTTATTTGTATTCTCTCCTTTTTGCTTGATGAGTCTTGCTAGAGGCTTGTCAATTTTATTTGTCCTCTCAAAGAATCAACTCTTAGTTTCATTAATCTTTTCTATTGTTTTTATTTTCTATTTTATTTATTACTGCTTTGATCTTTATTATTTACTTCCTTCTGCTTACTTTTGGTGTATTTCCAAAAGCTAAGATGTGGGAGCTATGTAGGTGTCCAGTAATAGGGGAATAAATAAAGAAAAAGTGGTGTGTGTACACGTACACACACACACACACACACACTGGAATATTACACAGCAATAAGAATGAAATCTTGCCATTTGTAACAACATGGATGGATGCAGTGGTTCTCAACCTTTCTAATGCCGCGACTCTTTAATACAGTTCCTCATGTTGTGGTGACCCCCAACCAGAAAATTATTTTCGTTGCTACTTCATAACTGTAATGTTGCTACTGTTATGAATCGTAATGTAAATATCTGATATGCAGGATGTATTTTCATTGTTCGCGACCCACAGGTTGAGAACCGCTGAGAGGGTATTATGCTTGGTGAAATAATCCAAAGAAAAACAAATATCTTATGTTTTTTTCACTTATATGTGAAATCTAAAGAACAATATAAACGAACAAAATAAAAATAGACTCACAGAAACATAGAGCAAAGGGATAATTACCAGAAGGAAGGGGCGGGAGGATGGGTGAAAGGAAGGGGAATATAGTCAACAATATTGAGCTAAGTTTACACAGTGACAGATGAATACTAGACATAGTGGGGCGATCACGGTGTAAAGTATAAAAATATTGAATTATTATATTGTACACCTGAAATTAATATAACCAATATAGATTGCATATCAACTATACTTAAATAAAAATAAAGTTTAAAAAAAGAAAGCAAAAATAAAAAATAATCGAAAAAAATCCCGAGACGTCTTTTTGCAACTCATCAAAAATAAGAACGAGCTTTCTAATTTATTCTAATGCAAGATCTTTCAGCAAAGAGAGTAATGCAGTAAATGAATTGTGAATGGAGAAAATCTGCGTCACGAGAGACATTGAGGGAGCCAAAATAAAACTGAGAAAGAAAAAAATACTGTTCCCAGACAGTGGTGCAAATATAATTATTTCTGTTTTTAATAAAAGTTTTATATGAAACAGAAAATAAAATTTGTTCTTTTCGTGTCACTCTTAATAAGGGAAAATAAGAAAGTAACTTACAATAACTTCCCTAAAGGATTCCTGGTCACTGATTGTCTTGTCTTCTACACATCCGGACTGATTCAAGTAGTGGTAGTTTTCTGGTACAGATAAATAAAATTCTTCTACAAAAAGGAGAAAACAACAACATCAGTACTTGACTGTCCAGGATAAGACTGAATCTGAGTTTTTACTTTGTGATCCTAAAATTGAGTACATAAATAATTCTGTGCTTGTCCTAGCCGGTTTAGCTCAGTGGATAGAGCATCGGCCTGCAGACTGAAGGGTCCTGGGTTTGATTCTGGTCAAGGGCACATGCCCAGGTTGCAGGGTCAATCCCCAGTGGGGGGTGTGCAGGAGGCAGCTGATCAATGATTCTCTCTCATCATTGATGTCTCTATCTCTCTCTCCCTCGCCCTTCCTCTCTGAAATCAATAAAAATATAATAAAAAATAATAATAATTCTGTGCTAGTAGTCCCCTATTAAGAGAAAGTCCTCTCTCAATCATCAGATAGGGAAAATTAGAAAGATTCTAATGAAACTAAATGGTATGATAGAAAATGTTACTGAAAAAAAAATCGATAAGGATCCTGTTTTGACTGCTTTTTCTTAAAAATCAAATATTCAGAAAAAATAATCAAATATTCAGAAATTAGCTTTCTTCGGGTGTAACTTCAAACTAAAACCAGTTGTAATACATTATATATAAATGTTTCCATAAATACTTCTTACATCAGAAAAGCACCAAGATTCCAAAAACAAACACAAAACCTAAGATTTCCCTATTGATGACTTTCTCTGTACATTATTTGGCTCTGAAAGGAACTCAACATTGTCTATACTCTCACACATTTCGAATTGATTGGTGGAATACTGACAAAGTTCAAACAGATGTCTTCTCGTGTCCTGATGGTTTTTAAAGGGAAAATGAGTGACTCACCTCTCTGCTTGCCCTCCAGCCCTGCCAGCAGTGCATAGAATATGTGGTAATTCCGCTCCCGAGGATTTTGCCTTACTACTCGGTTCTGTGGAAATAAATCAGATTTCTATTCAGAGATGTTTCCCCCTGCTTAATTAACACAAACCAATAATTTCCGAAAATTGTTATTGTGAAGGCAAACGTGATTTAAATCATGTCTACTTACTTTTTCTAATAAATCTTCATGTGAAAAGCAATGGCAAGTCAAGGAACAAAACCAGGATATGACCTGCTTAATTACTCTCTCATTTTCTGTTCTGTGTTACCCAAATAATTACAATTCCCCAGTCCTCGGCCATTGAGACTTCCGGTGCCAAAAGATAAGCCCTGAAAGCAGGGACTATTTCACCTAAATCCAATTTCAAACATGACCCATGGCACCCTAGGATGTACCAAACAATTGGGCAGAATTGATTTCAAACAACAGCTGATGTTTGATCAGAAATCCATTTTTTTTCAGATTATGAACATGAAATCAGAGATTTCCAAAATAAAAATGGTTCTTTATCCCCTAGAATAATTAATAGGTCAAACACAGTAATAACAGAGCAATAATTGGATAGAAAGAACCAGACAGACATGTTTCATTCATATTCTTCATCCATCCTTATGACAAGAACAGTTTCTATTTGTGGAGTCAAATACTGTAGACAAAAAAAAAAAACAAAACTCAACGAAACAGGATACAATCTACAATCCTCCCGCCCTGAATATTTCCCTTCTGGCAGATGTTCAGCTGAACGAACTTCCCAAAGCGACTGGAGTTGTTGTTGTACACGGTCTTCGCGTTGCCGAAAGCTTCCATGATGGGGCTGAAAAGAAGTCAGGACAGCAGCCGTGTTAATGAGGACAGATCTAAAAAACAGCCAAGACAGTCCCCACAGACGTCAAAATACACAAGTGCAAGAAAAGTCTGAGATCAAAAGGACCAACGGTGATTATGTTCCTTTACAGAAGAGCCAGGTCTCCAAAACACTTGCTGAAATGGGTTTACCAAGAACACCCACCTGAGGGAGAGCTCTCAGGCTGGTTGTGCGAGCCCAGGATGCTTCACTGAGCGAAGGAGTCGTGATGGCTCGTCCCTGCACAACTTAGCTTAGGCTGACTGGCATGTACTCCAGTCAGGGTTTACACAGAAAAAGCTTCTCTTCTAATTCTAGGAACTGGAAAAAGTCCGTCCTGAAAATTCTATCCATTGGTTGTGTCTTGGGAGTAACTCATTTACTTCTTTGGGTCATCTCTAAGTGGTCAGGGATCAGCAAACCTTTTCTGTAAAGATCCATGGGGGTCTTCATTACAACTACCCAGCTCTGGCGCGATAGGGTGAAAGCAGCCAAAAATGAACCGTAGACAAATGAGTGTCTGGGTCCCAGTAAAATTTAATTTATAAAAACAGGTTGCAGGTGGAAGATGAAAAACATTCTGGAGCTGGATGGTGGAAATGACTGCACAACCAGGTAAATGTACCTAATGCCGTACTTGGGAAAAGATTTCAGGTTAGAAGTTTTATGTTACGTGTATTTTATGACAATTTAAAAAATAAGTTTGGATGAAAAAAAATAAATAAAAAGCACCAAAAACCAGCTGTAGGATCTGGACTAAGTTTGTAGACTCCTGAACTAATTTCTAAATAATCTTCTACATATATAAAAGGCTAATATGCAACATGTCCCAAGGGGAGTTTGGGAGACCGGGAGTTCTATCACTCGCTATGATGTGCGCTGACCACCAGGGGGTGGTGTGGATCGAAGGAAGGCCCTGGCTGGCAGCTGGCAGCCACTAGGGACCCTACCCATGCATGAATTTTATGCACTGGGCCTCTAGTAGGATCTATAAAGTCCCTATAGGTTCTAAAATATTGTAAGGCACAAGCCAGATTCTGGGCAACTGCATATTTTAAAGAAAATTCCAGGTGATACCTCACCACACCACCCTCTTTCAAATCATGAGGCTCACTGCCATCGGATGGATCAGTGATTTTCTGCCACATGAAGCTACAAATAAGCGACTTGCTCCCGTGGCACTTCCAGAGGGCGGAATGCAGAACAGAGGCTCACTTGCCTCCATACCGAGCCCCCTGTCCCTCAGTGGCTGGAGACAGAAATAACTCTATAATAAGAAAAGGGCTTTATATATGTTCAAGGCCTTCAAAAAGCCGGTCAAGGACTCTAGTAGAAAAGGAGGCCTCCCCAACTCAATCCTGGCCCAAGGATGGAAGGTCAGGTTCTGGTGCTTGGATTACTAGAAATTGCAATGTGCATGTCAAGACCTTTCCTTGAGGAAAGAGAAGTCAAGAAAGAGAGAAAACAGACCCACTAGTTTTAACTCTTCTTTATAAAAGCCATACCGTGAGGAAAGTGAATCCTATTTGCTGGAAACAAGAGAGATGATGAAGAAATACCTGCTTTCAAGAATGGCTTGTTCAACACAGGACGTCTTCTCCTTCAAAGAGAGTTCCAAAGACTGTTGACTGATGACCGACAAAAACTTGAGGATCAACTTTGTGCTTTCGGTTTTACCTGCCCCGCTTTCACCACTGAAAGACAAAACGTGAAAGTTTGTGCTTCTAAGTATAATTTCTTTTACAAAAACCACCTTGGCCAATGTCACTACAACCCATCCGCTGAACACCTGGTGAAAGGTGGAAAGAGAGAGCTCAAAATGCCTGTTTCAAGAGCTGAGTTGAATGAAAGGAGAAGTCCTTTGTCCCACTGGCCTCAAATGGCATATGAGGTCAACAGGACTATCTTTGCTAAAATCAGGGAATTAGATGGATGGTGCCCTTCAGGGGAGGGAAGGTCTACTAGCATATCCCAGACACCTCAACAGTGCCAGGCTGGTCGCAGGCACTGGGTAAGACATTGTTAAATGAGTAAGCACATTATCAGCATGTTTCTGGGGGCATTTTAAGCAGGGAAATATGCACAGAAATGCAATCAGTCATAAATATTATGGAGGGGATGAAGAATGAACCCTCAGGTACTCGACCCACACTAAGTCATTCTATTCCCATAATTGTCCTAAGAGGGAGGCAGCAGCTAAGCTTAGTCAGAATTTAACACCAGATCCGTCTGAGTCCAAGGTCCTGGAGAGGCCCTGCTTTAATGCCAGTTAAGGAAAAGGGACAAAGCAATGCAGCGGGGGGTAGGGGGGTGGAGGGGTGGCTGGCAATGGGAGAACTGAGTCAGGTACAAGTTGTGCCTTAAAGGACTGGCAAACACCAGCCAGGCAAAGAGGAAAGGGGAAGGACTGGGTTTAGACAACAATGTGAAGAGCGCAGAAGTCAGATGAGCTTGGTAAGATCTACAAGGGAGTGCGATTCTGGTTAGGTCAGCAGGACTGAGGAGAGGCGGTGGAGAGAGGGGGCCAAAGGATCGAGTTTGACCATTCAGGGGCACCTGCGTGAGACGGAAGGCAAAGACAGCTCATCAGAGTCGCTCTGGAGTTAATGCTCCAGGAGAGAGGGTCCCTCAGGGATCTTGATCTGTTGCCATAACCCAGGTGTGTAGCAGTAGGTCCTGGACAAGTCCGACTGGCTGGATACGGAAAGGAAAGTATGGAGATGGAAGGGATTTGAAAGAAAAACTTAATTTTGTGTAAGGCACCGTGCTTGGTGCAGTGGGAAGAGCAGAAGCGGTAAGAAGGCAGAGAACTTACAAAAAAGGTAAACCCAGGACATGAATAACAGTACAGCAGGGCCACCGATATCACAAGGCGGCATGCTGATAATCGCTCGATGGCGATATAATGGATGAGCTCCATGTACGTTGTGAAGAAGTGCTCTCTGAGTGCCAAAATCCAGGAAGTTATCACAAGAGAGGAATGTTGCTGAACGCTTGGTGAATGGTAAAGGAGAGGAAATGACTCAGAAATGACGCCTCTGTGCTCTGCTGGGTGCCACGGGCCCATGGGGAATCTCCACTGGTCCAGGTCAGTTGCAGGCATTCCATTCCCTCTGCACGCTGACCAGGACAGCTGCCAGCATTTCAGCAGAAGAGGCTTAAAGTGCAGTGTGCGGAGGGCCCCTGGGGAGGGCTGCACGCACACCGAAGAGAACAGCAGAAAGGCCCTCCCAGCCCCTGCTTGCTGCAGACAAGAACCTGGGAATCCACACTGATCTGGAGAAAGTGGAAGCCAGTGGGAGTGGCTCAATCCGCAGCCCTGAAACTGCCCTGTCTTGTCTAGTCTGAGATAATAAAAGCCATGCAAGCCAAGCCAACTGTGGGTAAGCTTTCTGTTATCAGCAACCACAATCTCCCCAGCATGGGATTTAGCATTCGCCTTCCCGCAGCTGGCACCTGCCCAGCCCGGGGCTGGCAGACCCGAGGCATTCAGCAAGGATGCACCAAATGAACAACACAGAACCCAAGAGAAAGTTACAAGAAGAGATTTAAGTAATTTTTGATAGTAAAGCATACGCTCACCTATCTAGTGGTTGTTGATCATTAAATTACGTTTAAACAAACAAAACTCAGAGGCTTAAGTTCTCTAGTCAAAACACGTGAGGCAGAAATAACGTTACGGGTTTCCCAATCCCACTCTCCATGCTCCGGCACCCAGAGGCAGACAACATCTGCACCTCCCTTGGTAAGGAAAGCAATCAGTAACAGGGACCGAGTTTGGCCAACCGAACAACTGAGCAAGAGGGACATGTGCTGCTCCCATGTCTGGTGGCTAACACCCCCCGTGGTCCTCTGGACTCTACCTGCCACTCCTGCCACCCAGGTGCCCTCAGCGATAACACATCTCCAAGACAAAGTAACAAGGAGTAAAGTTGAGTTTCTCAGCTTCCCACGTAGGATTGGGAGATGAGCAAGAAATACACGTGCTCACATTACACCCCTGAGATCCGGGGGCTGTTTGTACAGCAATCGGCCTACCCTGACGAACACAGCACAGCGAAAATACAATCTCGGAGAAGATATCCTTCAAACTGGACAGCAAAGACTTGGCAGAGAAGACAACTCAGGATGCTCACTGCCGTTAACCAGTCACCAACATCGACCTACATCAATCTTCAGCCCCCTTTTTTCCCATTGGACCACATTTTCTGCAAGTGTCTCCTGTAAGTACCCCTGTTTGGATAGATTAAATGCGGAAGGAAAATAAAGCTGAGATTCACACCGTGCTCTGCAGGCTCTCCACCTTGGCTGCACATAGGTTCACCCAGCATGCGCCCAATCCTATAGGGAGAACTCACTCATCCCTATTTTAAAAAGCTTTCCAGATGATTCTACTATGAAGCCATGTTTGGGATCTACGATTCACATAATTCTGATAGGACTGCACTGGGAGATGAGAACTGGTGGCTACTGTCAACAGGACTGTGGACAGGACATAAACCAGGCAATGAATAATAATAAACAACTGACAAGTCGTTAAAACCCAGATACATGCTGGATGGCTGCCGACATGAATGTCCAGTCGGCAGGACTCACTCTAAACCTCCTCTCCACCTCCCATCCCGCCTGGGACTTCACCATTCCCAATGAAGGCAATTTACTGAGGGTCAAACCAACACGATCTTTGAAACCATGGAAGAGCACCCCTGCATGCCTATTCACATTCCTTTTATGCCCTACAGACTGGGCCACAGTCATGAACCAAACGTCCACAGACACTATTTGTCTATGATCTCAAAGCAGAAACACAAATGATGATGGTTAATACTGTCAAGTAGAAATCTTAGATGGGAGAAGTCATTTAGATGGAGGGTAAAGTTTCCGTAAAGACCTCTCTGGGAAAATGCAAAAATATGCTCTGGGATTAACTGGGTGAAAATGAAGAGAGGGAATGGGAAGGTGAGAGGAGGGGTCAGGATTTCAGCCAACGGGAAAATACACCAAAATAAAGCCAAATTAACAAGACTAATGGAACCCTCTGGTTCATTACATTTTGCTCACTTTGCACCCTGACTGCCCTACTGCTTCGATTTCGGCCTGCGGAGGCCTTTCTACCACGGGCAAGTTGTGCCTCACTTATTCCACCCCTCCCTTATTCCAGCCACGTAAAACAGTAACTCCTGCACAATTACGATGTTATTTCACCTTCACTTGGAGCAAACATATCACTTACATCTCCAGTCCTACTCTCTTCTCCTTAGCCCAGGGCAATCTGAGTCCTAACCCGTGACGCCAACCCAATTGCAAACACAAACATGGGCTTCGGCGAAAACACGTTCGCCCAGATGAATCCAAATGAGCTTATACTTTATAAAGATAAGAGTGAAAATGAAAAAAAAAAAGACACACAAAAACAAAAAACGATAACTTCGAGTACTGACGTGGGCCTTGCAGGCCGTATCAAATGTTTTGAGAATTTTATCACTGGCAGAATGGAAAGTCACAAGACCGGTGTTTTAAGCAGGAGAAGGTCATGATCAGGTTCAAGGTTTTAAAGAATCACTGTGTAGGGTCTGGAAAAGGGATGGAGGGAGCAAGGGAGGAAGTGGGAAACAAGATGTGAGAACAGGCCCTATCCGGCTTGGCTCAGTGGATAGAGCGTCAGCCTGTGGGCTGATGGGTCCCGGGTTCGATTCCGGCCAAGGGCACATGCCTGGGTTGTGGGCTCGATCCCCAGTGGGGGGTGTGCAGGAGGCAGCTGATCAATGATTCTCTCTCATCATTGATGTTTCTATCTCTCTCCCCTTCTCCCTTCCTCTCTGAAATCAATAAAGAAATATATTTTTTTTAAAAAATGTGAGAACAGATGAGAAGTGAGAGGCCCAGGACTGCGGAGGGAGAAAGGAAGAAGGGCTGGGGACCCCGGTCAGGAGGGTTGGTTGTAAGGGAGCGTGGGAATGACTCCTGAGAGCCGGGAGCGTGCTAGCATAACCTGGGCGTTGGTGACACAGGTGTGCACATCTGTCAGTACTCATCAAAGTGTGCATGTAAGAGCAGCACGCGCTGCTATATGTAATCTTACTTTCTAGATCCAAGAACGACTTCTTGATCTCAGGAGTGGGATCTCCAGAAAGGAAAGTCCACTTGCTGAGAATGCAAAGCATGAGAGGAGAAACAGGCTTCTGGGAGAAAATGAGGATGGATGTGGGACATGCCACCTGATAGGTCTGTGCAACATCTGTGATGACACCTCAGGGGCACGTGGACGTATGTCCGGAGCTCAGAGGAGAAACTGGTGCGGGACGTGTTTCAGTTTGTGGGTCATGAGAGGAAAGGCAGGCGTTGGAAGAGGAGAAGTGGAACATGACTGAGGGGAGGCGTGCCCACTGAGCAAGGAGGGAGCCCCATGGAGGAGATGGGGGAACATGTGGTGTAACGGCTGTGGAACCAAAGGTGCATGTATTTTTTTTTAATGGAACACACTAGAAATTTTTGGATGATGATGCCAAACAGCCAAAGCATCAGGACAGGCAGACTTCAGAGATGGAGCAAAGTCCGCAGGGGAGCAGGGGAGGGATCCCGACCGCACAAGAAGGAAAGGGCCTCTGCCACAAATGGGGCCCTTTAGCCACCCCACAGGCTCGTCCCCCAGACCAGTGCAGGTGTGTCCGAAAACTGTGGCCCCCAAATCTACTCAGCTGCCCATTTTTGTAAATAAAGTTTTATCAGAACACAACCCGGCTGTTCATTTGTGGACTGTCTATAAACACTTTCACACTCCAAGGGCAAAGGTGAACAGTTGGAACAGCGAGTCTCACCCACAAAACCTGAAATATGTACACCCTGGCCCTTTGCTGACATCCAAAAACATCTCCACCCTGTCAATCAAATCTCTCCACTTCACATGATTTCCTCAAAGTGTACATCCACCCACCACTCCCTTGCTTGTAGAAGACCAAGAAAACTTCTGCACCGCCTACAGGATTCAATCCAAAGATCTTAGCAAGCAGAACAAAATCCTTAAAAGTTCGACTCTGTACCAGGAATTAGGATTCTGATCTGAAACAAACACTGGGAAACTCAAGTTCAAATTCTGTGTCTGTTGTTCATAGCTGGTCTCTTTAGCAAGTTATTCAAAATCCGAGCCTCCGCTTCCCCAAATTCCCGGGCTTTTCTGAGGATTACACACAAGCCTGTCTTCTCAACAAATATCAGTTTCCTCCCCCAGCTCCTTCATGCCCCTCAGCAAAACCCACAGCCTTATAGGCATACCTTCCACTTCCCAAGTATCCTTGTTTGACCAAATATCTCTGTTTTTACAAATGCTTCTGTGCCCTTCCTCCCCTCTCTGTTGGCTGTATAACCTGGTCACGTGTCACCTTCTCTGTGAAATGCTCTCTCGGCACCTTCACCGACAGCCATGTATTACTTCCATTACAGCATTTGGCAGGCTGCATGGAAATTATTTACATCAGTTTCTTCCCGTCACAGTAGAGGTTCCTGAAGGGCAGTGATTGGGTATTCTTCATTTTAAATCCCCAAAGCCTAGCACAGGACCCTGAGGTATGACATGAGCACCCAGCACCTTATTCTGGTTGGTACCTTTCTGGTCCAGGTGCAAGTTTTGTTCACTGTTCCAATTCAGTCACTTCTAAATATATTACAAGAAAGAAAAACACCACACACCCAATTATCATTCCAGAATCTAAACGACAGTTAAGAAGAAAGTGCTTTGGCTTTGGAAAAACCAAAATATGCAAAGGATGCAGAGGCCCTAGACCAACAGCTGTTCCTTCTGTCCATCCTTTGATTGACAGCTGTTGAAGGCGGACCCTCTGCCAGACGCTGTCCGGGGCAAAGGTGAATCGGCCACAGGACTTGACTACACTATGCCTCTTAAAAGGTCATGTATACTGAAAAGACCATCATCAACTAACCTCTGCCTGCCCAACACAACGTATGAAAAACTGAAGTCAACGCAGAATGTAGTAGGTCAACCAAGATCAAATGCTGACCTGGTCTGTTAGATGAAAAAAGAATTCTCAAGTAAGTTCTAAACTTATGTATTTAAAACAATCATAGCGTGAGCATTCTTCATTTAAATGTGCAGAAAAAGTGAAAACTATGCTTAACCGAGAGAAGTAAATGACCCTGAAAGTAAGACCAACAAAAGAGGCTTGAACTAGAAGCTGAGAGACATGGCAGTGACACCAACCAGCTGGGGACCTTGGCCAAGTGATGAGGGCTCAGAAAGTGAGAGAAAAATTAATGTAGGAAGTTCTATCTAGTTCTAAATAGGCTTATGTAGCAGCCACCAGGGGGCAGACTATGCCTGAGGAAATCTAAATAGGGCTCCAGTATCCTGCTATTTTTATTTTTATACTCAATTTTCTCTTCATTCCAATAGCCCCAGCCCTCACTTAAAAAAAAAAAATGTTAGAGAGAGCTATTAAAAGCCAAAATACATTTTAATGAGAAATCTATTTTGAAAGACTGTTTCCTGAGTTAATTTAGAGAAATACAGTTAGTTTTTTTTTCACATCAGCATGACACAATGGGAGCTTTCTGTTAGGGATCCACTCCCCCTCAATCCCTTTCCCCCACTCCCTCCACCTGACTTTTAAAGACCAGAGTCTTTGGCATGAAAATGCCAACCCTTTTCCGTTTTATTGCACACACACACACACACACACACACACACAAATGCACAATGATCTCATTTGATTTTTCACTTTTTTCCTAAGCTGCTCTGTCTAGCAAGTGATATATTAGTCACACTCTTGTTTTTGTTTTGTTTTTCCCCACTTAAAGTAATAAGCACAAGCCATTGTCAATGGCAAATATTCAGGTACCTAAGTGGGGAAAACAGTTCGATCTTCTTAAAATAGATTAAGTTCTCTTTCTTTCTGTTAATCTTATTAAATTAGATTCTGTAAGCTAAAATAGTGACCTCAAACCCAACTACTGAACTTTAGTGAAGTCATCTGAAAGAACCCAGAAATAGTGCTTCTAGTCATAAAGCAGGCCCCTTTATTGGGAATGTGACTCTTAAAAGCTCTGTTTTTATATGAAGCAAGTAGCTTTATTTTCATTAACTGCAAGTTATAACCCTTCATATTAGCTTAACTGAATAAATTGATATTCCCTCTATCTGAGTGGATTCCACAGCCCAGCACATTAGCACCAGTAAGGTGATGGAGAAAAAGAATATCAACCCTTAAAGAAAGAGGCAGAGAGGAGTAGGCCGGGGAGGCACTGTTTTATTGTTCATATTCATATCATGCCCATTTGTTACAAAAGCAAGGAGCCAAGAACTAGAGTTATGGGTGAAAACTGCCAGTGAGAAGAACACACCCTTGACAGTAGGTTCCGTGTGTACAGATCACACTGAACACTACATCAAAGGGCTGTTGGCAGGTTTTGAAAGCTCTTGGCACAGCGTCCAATACACTTAATCCTTCAGAAAAGGACAGCTGTCATTTCTTAGCCATTTCCACTCAGGAACCACACAGGGTGGGGTGAGCACCTCGAAAAGATCCTTGGCTAGAGGCTCCTCCATTTCCCTTCCCTGAGGTTTCCATGAAGGGCCTGCTCTAGCATGTCTGCCTACCTCAACCCCTACCCCACCCCTCCACCCCATCCCCCACAGGACCAGGAGTGCTTCTCTGACAGGTGAACTGGGGGGAAGGCTGGCCTGCTTCTCGCCATCTGGAACTGGTTTCCCCCGGGAACTGCGGCCACCAGTTACCTGCCTGGACTCTGACCAGGTGGGCTGTCTTGTCTAATCTGGGGCTGCAATGTTAGCGATCCTGATCGGCTGGAAGTCTACAGCGGCCATATGGCTGTCCATCTGTCTCCTGGGCCTGACTCCCACTGAACCAGAAATCCGGTGGGTAGGTGGGATCTTATTTGTTAGCCTCCCCAAATGCAAACACCCCTTTCCTCTTAAAATAATAGAATTATTTTGCCACAGGTTGGGACTAAAAAGCCATCTGAAACAGATGTCAAAAAAATCTCTCACTCCGGCAGTTCTGTTTATACACCACTGGTCCCCAGTAACAGCCACGCTCCATGAGTGAACGCCTGGAGGACAAATGAATGAAATGCCTGGGACTCCATGGAAACCCCACTGAAAGTGGCACGCAGCTCTGCATGGGACTCCATGGAGACCCCACTGAAAGTGACATGCAGCTCGTCCTCCTTGGACACGTCCCAGGGGTGTGCTGATCGTCATATAAACCATTAATAACAAGGTCCAGTAAAGATGTCACTAGAATATAGGTGATGAGCCATTTTGAATTAGTTAATAAAAATGAAGAAGTGCTTTTTTTAAGAGACAGGTTTTACTCCTTTTTAGACAGTTCCTAGTAATAAAGGTTTTGACATTGGGGCTCCTGGTGGTTTATTTCAATCAATGAGGAAGACTGAGCTGAAAGAGTTATGTCAAGACCCTACCTCCTCGAAAAAAAATTAAATCCAATAATCACGCTCTCCTATCATTTCCTAAACATATAATAGCAGTCCCTTTTCTATAGCCAATTCAAAGGTACGCGTTAAGAGCATCAGTTAAAACCACCCAAAAGTCTTCAATTTGGGAGATTCCCTTTAGGGCAATCACGCTGTATGAGGAAAAAGGGGCTTGCTCAGGCATGCGGCATGCTGCCTAGCACTCTGGAATATCAGCCCTGCTCACCTAAAGAACTATACAACACTTCCTTACGTCCGCAGGAAGCTCAGGCCTCACAACCGGAATAAACTGAAGAAGAATTCAGGCAAATTTCCAAAAAGAAACAAATGGAGTAATTGCTCTAACGTGCGCGCCTCGTGGCTGCTGGAAGCTGTAGGTACCAGCCACCCCACCCCAATCGGAAAGCTTCACTGAGACATCAGGCGCTGACGAGCTTCTCATGAACGTGCTCCGCGGGGACGGGTGGGGGCCCGGCTTGGAAAGCGCTGCGGGCGGAGAGCCCTGGTTACCTGATGAGGACGCACTGGTTGTCGTGGCGCTTCCACAGGCAGCGGTAGCACTCGTTGGCCACGGCGAAGACGTGCGGGGGCAGCTCCCCCAGGTGGCTCTTGCTGTACCGCTCCATGGTGGCGCGCTCGTACAGGCCAGCGATGGGCTTGTAGGGGTTCAGGGAGGCAATGATGGAGCCGATGTAGGTCTGCAAGGACAGGGACACAGTTACACACAGCCCTGGGTGGGTGAGGGCTGGCACCGCCACCCCTGCTGGGGCTGGGCCAGAGGGCGTCTGCATGCAGCTCTATGCCAAACCATGTGGAGAAGGGGGGGAGGGGTCTGCCACATGTCAGGGAACCCACTGAGTGTCCCTTAGGGGAAAGATAATGTGTGCTCCCCACTGCATTTGTTTTTCCAGTAACTTTTGGTACAAAATCTAGTCATTCTGTACAAACAAATGCAGCCATTTCTAAGACGACTTGCTATGGAAGGAACACAAGAGAAAGATGGTGAACCAGCCCAGGCCCAAATCCCTGTCCCCGTGCCCTCCTAACCCTGTCCTCATCATGACCCTGCCCTCTCAGGTGGCTGCTATGAATGCAGGGTTGAAGAAAGAACGAGAGAGGCAGAGGGGTTGGGGAGGAGGGATGGAGAGTTACGGTTTAATGGGTACAGAGTTTCTGTTTGGGATGGTGAGAGCGTTCTAGAAGTAGATAGTGGTTACAGTTGCATAACATTTCAAATGCATTTTTAAAAAATCTTTAAATTACAGTTGACATACAATATTATGCTAGCTTAAGATGTACAACCCCATGATTAGACATTTATGTAATTACAAAGATCACCCCTATAATGCAAATGTATTTAAGGCACTGAACTGTATACTGGAAATAATCAAAATGGTAAATTTGATGGTGTGTGTATTGACCCTCAATGTGTAAAAAGTAACAAGACAGTTTGAAAATCCTAGGTAATCAGTAATCTCAATGGCTCCTGAGTGCCTGTCACTCACCTGGAACTGAGCAGACAGACAGGCGGACCTATCTGGAACCAAAGCCAGGCCAGACATTAAGCTAAATCTTCAGAGCAGCCAAGACAGGCCACTGAGCTATGAAACCGGAACACCTCATGTCCCCTCCGTATGGACATAAGCATTCGCTTGCACTTCTGCAAATGCTACCAAAGTGTGGTTGTCTGGTTTCCAGTCTCAGACACAACTGAAGAAGCCAAATGAGAAGGGGAGGTGGCAGGGCCATCAGCCGGCTTTTATGGCACACATGCGCTGTGCCAAGGGCTTTAGGGGGGGCAATGGGCTGAACCGTGCCCCCCCCACTCATATGTTGAAGCCCTAAATCCCCACCACCTTAGAATATGACTATACTGTATATAGAAACACAGCCTTTAAAGAGATGTTGAAATTAACCATTAGGGTGGGCACTAATCCAATCTGACTGGTATTCTTGTAAGAAAAGAGATTTGGATACAGAGAGGCATCAGGGATGTGTGCGCACAGATAAAGGCCAGAGGAGGACACAGCAAGCTGAGGAGAGAGCCCTGGGAAGTAATCAACCCCGCCAGATACCTCGATCTTGGACTTCTAGCCTCCAGAACTGTGAGAATATCAACTTCTGTTGTTTAAGCCACCACGTCAGTTATATTTCTTTACGGCAGCTGGAGCAGACTCATACAGAGGGCCTGACCCCTTTCACACTCACAATAACCCTGGAAAGTTCAATGTATTACTATTCCTGTTTTTCCAATGAGGAAACTGAGGCATGGAGAGAAAATTCCATGGACGGTCACACAGCCAGTAAGTGGCAGAGGTGAGATCTGAACTCTGGCGACCTAATGCAGAGCCCTCTCTCATTCACCGGCAAGGCTGGGCAATGCAGCAGAGCAGGAGGAACGCAGGAAACACTAGACAGAAAGCAGGAAACATCCGAACAGCATCTGTACCGTATTACAGCAATTTGTAATCATTTCTATTCATGGTGACTGCCAGGAACATCAAGCAAAGGATCTACGTTCCATATAACTGTTCTCAAATGGAAGGGGGTCTGTAATGTGTTTTGGAAATATATTGAACCAAAAAAGGTTAAAAACATAAAAGGGATATTACCATATGACCCACT